TATGGCATACAGATGGGAAGGCAGAAATAAAATTTTCTTTGCTCACAGGTGACTTGGCTATCTATTTAGAAAACTCCAAAGAGGCCACAAAGTCTTCTGAAACTAATACATTTCAAAAAGCAAGCTTCCAAATACAAGGTCAACGCACAAAAGTTAATTCCTCCTTATTTAATTTATACATTTAGTACATTCTCATTTTTTTCATATATGTTTCCTCAAATGAGCTATAGGTTCAATCAAAGTCCAACATTCCAAGAGAGATTCTCTTGAAATTTGTTAAGATGATTCTAAAATATATAGAGAGAGTAAAGGATGGATGTTAGCCTGGACACTTCCAAGATAGAAAGCAAGGAAAGTGGCCCCACCCCCAGATATTAGAATTAAATAATTAAGACAGTAAGACACCAACAGACAAACTGACTAATGGGAGAGAATAAAAGCCCAGACACAGGCCAGGCCTGTGTGGAACTCTGTTCCATGACAGAGGTGGCATACGGTATCATGGGGGAAAGAGGACACGTTCATCAAGTGGAAATTGCAAAAATAGTTATCCTTAGGTTAAAAGATAAAATTGGAACCTAACTCATACTATGTAAAAATCCAGAGGAATTAAAACTTATATCAAAGCAAAACTTTAAAATTCTTAATGGTATGTAAGAAAAGATTTCCTGAATCAGACCAAACAATGTCTGTCTAATAAAAGACTAATTATGTTCATCAAATAACACCTTAAAAGAGAAGTTAAATCTGAGATATTTGGTGCCATAACTGCATAAAAAATTCTTCCAGCTTGTACAAAAAGCACAAGAAAAACACTGAAAAGAAATAGGCAAAAGTTAGGACTAAACTTTTCACACACACACACACACACACACACACACACAAAATACCTATAAAAAAAGAGATGTTCAACATGAGTGATCAGGAAATGCAAAGCAAGATACCATTTCACGCCACATGCGGTGGCACAAGCCTATAATCCCAGTGGCTTGGGAGGCTGAGGCAGGAGGATCATGAGTTCAAAGCTAGCCTCGGCAATTTAGCAAGGCCCTAAGCAACTTAGCAAAAGCCTGTCTCTAAATAAAATATAAAATGGGGTGGGATATGGCTCAGTGGTTTAGCACCCTGGGTTCAATCCCTAGTACCAAAACAACAACAACAACTACAAAAACAGTTTATATTCAGCTAAAAACAAGAAGCCTGACTACACCAAGTGTCAGGATATGGACACAAGGGGTTCTCTCATACATGTAAATTGAAGAATGAATGTTGGTGTTGGAGCATTTTGGAAAGCAGTTTGGTACTACTCCCCAACCTGAATGTGTACATACCCTTAGACCTAGCAGTCCCTGTGGCTGTGCTGAGATTGATAATGGAAAGATGGGACGACAGAGACTCCATAAGGAAGCTGGAATCACAGTGTATGAGAGGCTGGCCGTGGAGGTGGAAAGGATATGTAAATCAACAAAAGACTAGAAGAAGAACTTTCAGAAGATGATACCCAAATGGCCAAAAAATCATATTAAAATGTGCTCAAACTTATGAGTTATTAGGAAAATACTATAAGCACAATGAAGTACCATTGCACACCCACAAAAATGGAGGAGGATGTACAATAACCAGAATTCTCAGATAAGGCATGTGGAAGCATAAATTTGTGTCCCCACTTCAGAAAAGTATCTAGCTTTATGCCTCGAGACTCCGCGACTCTATTTCCAGGCATGTATCAACAGAAATGTGTAAGAATGTGCGTCAGCAGATACGTGTGAGAAAGTGTATAGCAGCACAGTTCTTAGGAGCCAGAAACAATGACATCCCAAATACCTATCAGCAGTAAAATGGATAAACTGTGGCGTACTCACACAACCAAATACTGTACAACGAGAAAAAGTGTACAACAGATACTCGAGACACTGAAAAACATCATCATGAATCAAATAAGCCAGTCTCAAAAAATTATATAGTACATGAGGGAGGTGAGGTGGTGCACGCCTGTAATCCCAGAGGCTCAGGAGGCAGAGGCAGGAGGATCGCAAGTTCAAAGTCAGCCTCAGCAATGGCAAGGCGCTGAGCAACTCAGTGAGACCCTGTCTCTAAATAAAATACAAAATAGGGCTGGGGATGTGGACGAGTGCCCCTGAGTTCAATACCTGGTACTCCCCCCAAATAAAATAAAATTATGTAGTACATGATTTACTCTTTATAAATTTCAAAATCATAGACAGGATGGTGAGCCTACAGGAGGAGCAGTAACTGGCAGAGACATAAGGTGCTGGTGATGGTCTATCTGTGATCTCAGTAGTGGCAACATGAGGGTGTTTAGTTTATGAAAATACACCATTCTGTATACACTTGTGATCTTTCTGTGTGTCTGATGCTCTCATTTGGATAAGTTCCTACAAAGATCCACATGTTGAAGGCTTAGTCCCCAGGTGCCATGTTGGTGCTGTTGGCAGGAAATGGAAACTTTAAGAGGTGGGGCCTGGTAGACGGTCTTTAGACTATTGGGGGCAAACTCTTGAAAGGGATTGTGGGACTCCACTCACTTTCTCTTCTTCTGTTTTGCTTCCAGGTCGTGACGTACATGATTTTGCTCTGCTCTATGCCTCCTGCCATGTTGTACTGCTGCCTTACCACATGCCCAAAAGAAAAGGAGCCAATCAATAATGAACTTGAACCTCCCACACTATAAACCAAAATAAACCTTTTCTCTTTATAAGTTTATTAATTTCAGATATTTTGTTACAGTTACAGAAAGCTGACAAACACTGTTTCTATGTAAAAGGAGAGATTTAGAGAAACCAACAGGACATGGTGAGTGATAGACATGGATGGAGAGGAACAGAAAGAATCTAGCGTGATTCTGATTTTGGCAACTGGGTAAATGGAGTTACCCCGCCACCTCCTTTTTTTATACCAAGGATTGAACCCAGGGGCACTTACCCACTGAGCCACATCCCCAGCCCTTTTCATATTTTATTTAGAGAGAGGGTCTTGCTGAGTTGCTTAGGGCCTCACTAAGTTGCTGAGGCTGGCTTTGAACTTGCAATCCTCCTGCCTTCAGACTCCCGAGCCACTGGGATACTGGGCATATGCCATGACACCAGGCTACTGAAGTTACCCTTTATTGGAATGAGAAGGAGAAGAGGAAGAGCTGGTATGGGCAAAGGCAGGAATTGAGTTCAGCTTTAGACATGTTATGATAGAGGTAACTAGGCATTCAAGTGACGATGTCAAATAGCCACTTAGATTTTCAAGTTTAGAAGCTCAGGGAGAAGTCAGAGCTAGAGATGCAGGTTCGGAAGTTCCCCTTGTGTAAACTACACAGTGAGAACCTGGATGCAAGAGAGTGAATGTGGATAGCAGGGAGAAGGCCCAAGGGCGGAGGATATGGGGAGGCTCAAACATTTAGTTTGATAAAGGATGACAGCCACAAGGACACCAGAAGGAGCAGACAGAGAGCTAGGAAGAAAACCAGGAGAGCGTGGTGTCCCTAGGCCAAGGGGTGTGCAGGAAGAAGGAACATCAGCCATGTCCAAGGCTGTTCCTAGGCCAGGATGAGGTCTGGGCAACGTGGAGGTCAAGGGCAGTTTTGTGGAATGTTGGTCTCCAAAATGTGGAGTAGAAGGAGACAGATGGGAGGTGAAGGTGGCAAGCAGGGAGCACAGTCATTCTAAGAGTTTTGCTTTCTGGGTGAGCAGAGAAGTGGCGCAGGAGGTGGTGGGGTCGGGGCCTTCAGACAGGAACTATTGCAGATGTTCTTGGAGGGGGAGCGATGGACACGGCAAGAAAGGGGAGATCAAGAGATGGAACTAAGTACTGACCAGGAGGAAGGGGAGGGGATTACATGACACTTGGGACTTCAAGGGCCAAGTGGCAGGAAGAGCAAGATTCAACCAGTCACAGAGGTGGCCTGTCAGATAAGGCCTTGCCGAAGGCGGTGATAAGAATTGTACAACTTCCTTCAGCCAGGCCCCAGCAGATGAATTCAAAGGTTCCTTCTAGGAAGCTGTCCCTGTCTGGGCAGGACAGAGGCCTGGCGCTGGGCTGGGCTGAGCTGAGCACGGCACCCTGTCCACAGGTTTGTACACACCTTGCCACAGCAGTGTGGAGAGGCCTAGGGAGCCAGGCCAGCATGGTGGAGTTTGCTCCCTTGTCCGTGCCTTGGGAGCGCAGGCTGCAGACACTGGCGGTCCTACAGTGGGTCTTCTCCTTCTTGGCCCTGGGTAAGTCGGGCTGGGTGAGATGGGAGACCAGGAGCAGCCACCCAGCTGCACCCAGAATGTTGGTCGTGGGAGGTTCTTGGAGGCCTCGGAGCCCTGCCCAGAGAGACTGGGCCATGGGGTGGGGTTGCCTGTGGCTTTGAGCAGTTTTTGGCCAAGTGTTCCCCCTTGACACAAGGAGACCCTGCTGCAGGCTGCTGAGGGTGTGGGAAGCATCGAGTTGATGCTGGGAAAGTTCCAGACTGCTCTTTCCTTTCTGAAGGGATGAGTGGGAACTGGGGTAAGGAAGGAGAGGGGAACCAGGAACTAGGTTCTCCGGGCCTTGGTTTTGTCATCTGCAGCAATGTGTGGCCCAGACTCCAGCTTTGCTGAAGGGAACATTTTCAAGGAGGGTTTGGGCCAGATGCCGAGGCGCACACCTGTAATCTCAGCAGCTCGGGAGGCTGAGGCAGGAGGATCATGAGTTCAAAGCCAGCCTTGGCAGTTTAGTGAGGCCCTAAGCAACTCAGGGAAACCCTGTCTCTAAATAAAATATAAAAGGGCTGGGGATGTGGCTCAGTGATTAAGCACCTCTGGGTTCAATCCCCAGTACAAAAAAAAAAAAAAAAAGGAGAGTTTGGGGCAGTGTTGGGAGGTGGAAGTGAATGAATGGGTTTCTTCATTTCATCTGCTGGCACCGGACTAGGGAAGAACTGTTCCCCCTGGGTCTAGGGTTCAGCCTGTGCTCTCTCCTGGCTGCTAAAATGTCGACACATTGTGGTCAGCGGCCTTTTAACACACAATATATGTGCCCACCCCACACTTCCTCAGAATTTCTTTGTGGTTTCACAGCCAAAGAACTTATCCCCAGCAAGGCAGGCTCTCCTGGACCCTACGTTAGCATCCTTTCTAATTGACGTGGGTTTCTGCCCTAAGGGTTGATAAACATGTTACACATACTTGGCTATTTCCACTATGTAGATGAGCAGAGAAAGTGCCTTACAGGCCCAGGCTGCAGAGCCAGAGTCCTGGGCTCCTCCTGCCAGAGAAAGGACTAAGGAGGTAGAAGAGGGGAGAGGGGCTGGGGTGGGAGGAGGTGGGAGCCACAGTCGGTAAGAGAGCAGAAGGAGGGAGGCCTAAGCTGTCAAGTCCAAGGGCTCTGGGGACCCAGTGCCAGGTGACTGTAGCCAACAGATCACAGAAGACGAGGGACATGGTGCCCAGCCTGCCTCCTGTTATCTTTTAGGGCAAGAGTGTTTCCAGCTGGCTATGCCCACCCCACCCTGCAGCCCTGTGGCCCTGCCTGGCTCCTTCACTATCACAGGAACCTGGAAGGTCAGGAGCAGCGTAGGGGTCAAAGCAGCCCTGGGCCTGGAGGGCCAGAGGGAGGACAGCTGAAAAAAAGGATCTGGGCTCCTTTGTGCCAAGAGCAGGAGGTTTTGCCTTGTCCCTTAACCTGAGGGCAAAGGAGAGCTGAGGAAGTTTCAGGTAGTGGAGTGACAAGGTCCAGCCTGGGTGTTAAAGGTCCCTATGCCTGCCGTCGATGTGTCTGCTGTGCTGGGGGTGTGGGGAAGGGACCAAAAGCAGGAGCATTCTGTCTAGATCAGAAGTCACCAAATCAGGGCCCATGGGCCACATCCAGCCCCCTGGTTTTGTTCAGTCCAAGGGTTCAGAATGGTCTTTATATTTTTTAAAGGCTACATTTAAAAATAGCTGCTTAAGTACATGCATAATATCCTCCAATTTGCCCCTTAAACTGCAAAGTCTAAAATATTTGCCATCTGAACCCTTAAGAAAAAGACTGGAAAGGGTGGCAGTGGGTGGAGAGAAGGTTTGGGGTCGGGAGATATTCAGGAGATGGGCTCCTGGGCAGGAGCAGAAGGAATGGATGGGTGGAGGGAGAAGGCCAAGTTGATGCCCAGTCTCACCCACGTTTGGCTGGCTGTCGTCACTGAACTTGGGCACTCAGGAGCAGGCTTGAGAGATTAGGAGTTCAGTCCTGAATGTCACTGTTCTTGAGGGGCTGTGGAGCCTGGAGCCAAGAAGTCACCCTGTGAGCAGGGGGATGAGAGTGTAAGGTCAGGCAGCAGCGACCAACAGGAGGCAGATTTTAAAAGGCTCTGAATGAGGCTTTATTGAGATTTCGCTCCCTGGCGGGACCCTCAGACCAGCAGAGTGGGTCTAAGGAGAAGTGCATGGGGCTGGAATTTTTATTGGGCTTAGGGCAGGAAGGGAGGGCTTGGGACAGGAAAAGGGGTTTTTAGAGTCCCTTGTCCTACTGGGGTTGGTTGGGGGTAGCTGGCTAAGATCCAGGATTGGCCAGGAGACCCTGCTGATTGACAGGCAGTTCTGTGGGTGCCTGATTGGCGGTTCTTTGGCGCGCATGGGTGGGTTGCTTAATCACCTCAAAGGGATCTAACAGAGGGAACAGAGTAGCAGGGGTGGTGACAAGCAGAGGAAGCACTTCAGGCAGCCATTATTTTTTGTTTGTTTGGTACCAGGAATTGAACCCAGGGGTGCTTAACCACTGAGCCATGCCCCCAGCCCTTTTTATTTTATTTTATTTTTTTAACTTAGAGTCAGGGTCTTGCTAAGTTGCTGAGGCTTCCTTTGAATTTACAATCCTCCTGCCTCACTCTCCCAAGCTTTTAAAGTTTTAAAGAACACTAAGGTTTTAAAGAGCACTAAGGTTTCAAAGACTGGTAGGAAAATCAAGCCCCCCAGGCAGGGAACCCCCTGTGCAGAGCAGAGGAGGAATAAGGGACCTTGTACACAGTTCATGCTGGAGGTCACGGACACATTTTGCAAAATGGCACAGAAGTGGCTGGAAAAGTCAACTAGGACCACTCACCAAAGGCTCAGAGCCCCAAGTCAAATGCGTTCTTGGGTGACTTGTTTGCTGGCTGTGTCCTGTCCTCTCCTCCACAACTCCCACCTCTTACATGGGAAAGGAAGGTGTTTCTTCACAGCCTGTGCTGTTCTTGGCTATGGCTACAGCTCCATGAAGAGTCCGAATCCAGAACATCTGTTGAGTGAATGAGGAATGCTGGGAGCATGATCTGGTCCAAGCAGCAGGACTGAATCCCAGGTCCCCCCTTACTAGTATGCTGTGTGACCTTAACCAATTTATAGACCTTCTCTGTAGTACTGAAAGCTCTATTCTTGTCCCCGATGCCAATCCAATAACAAGGACATAGTTTTGAGAAAAAGAAGTTTTATCATTGCATTGCTAGCAAAGAAGAAGCACAGGAGACTCCTGTCCCAGAGGCTGTGATTCTGCCCATCAGGGGAACAGGGGGCTCTTAAAGAGGTATATCAAAGGTCACATTCCACATTTGTTTTTGGAGTTGTCATTCACTTGTTCGTTTGGGAGATAGTAATTTCTGCTGCCACCCTCAACTCTGAGTTACTTGTTTCAGTGGTATGTGCTCAAGGACAGATAACTCTGCCTAGGATGGGGAAGAAAGGTAATCCTGTTTCCCTGAGATTAGGGAGGGGGAGCAGTTAGGGAAGAGCAGGGGGGAAGGGAGAGGAAGAAACAGGTCATTTAAAAATAAGTTCATCCGGCCAGGTGCAGTTGTGCACGCCTGTAATCCCAGTGGCTCAGAGGCTGAGACAAGAGGATCATGAGTTCAAAACCAACCTCAGCAATGGCAAGGCGCTAAGCAACTCAGTGAGATCCTGTCTCTAAATAAAATACAAAATAGGGCTGGGGATGTGGCTCAGTGGTCCAGTGCCCCTGAGTTCAATCCCTGGTACCCACTCCCCCCACCAAAAAAAAGTCACATGGCAGAACAACAAGGGCTATACTCAAAACATAAAGTGGACCACTGTCACATCTAGGCCTTAAAGTGGGCATTTTAAGTGTTTTCCCCTCAGGTCGTGAGGATTATGTGAAAGAAGGTGGTGTCTTCCTTCCTAAATTACTGAAAAGACCTACAGACTGGGTTTGCTTCCTAACAGGGGTTAAAGGGTGAGCCCATGGTCGAGGCATAATGCAGTGGTGGGAGTCATTCTGGTCAGGGTAGATACCCTGTTTTCTTCTAACTTTTCCTTTTTTCCTCCTGACTTCAAAAATAATACATAATAAAACAAAACATGGGCCCTTAAAGTAAAATACTTCCAGCCAGTCATGGTGGCACACTTCTGTAATCCCAGAGACTCGGAGGCTAGGAGGATCTAAGTAGAGGGCCCTTGAGTTCAGTCCCCAGCACCCCACCCACACCCTGCCCAAAGACTTCCCATACTCTTGCCTCCAGGTAGCCACTATTAACAATTCATCTTTATTTTCCAGAGCTCCTTTTTTAAAAGAAGCTCATGAACAGACTTTTGGTTTTGCCCAAGGGAAGAATCCTAGCTGGGAGTTTAAAATTATTTTTACTTTTATAGTAAATATTTTTAATGTAAAAATTAAAAACAATTTAAGTCAATCTCCTTTCTTTTTTGAATTCAGGGGCACTCTACCATTGAGCCACATCCCCAGTCCTATTTTGTATTTTATTTAGAGACTGGGTCTCAGAGAGTCACTTAAGTCCTCTCTAAATTGCTGAGGCTGACCTTGAACTCCAGGTCCTCTTGGGATTACAGACTAGTGAATTATTCAATAGTGTTTGAAAACAAAGAGCAAATGTGGAAGCAACCCTATGTCCATGAACAGATAAATGAATAAACAAAATAGAATATTATTCAGCCTTAAAAAGAAAGGAGATTGAGACACATCCACAACTTGAATGAACTGCAAACATTACACCAAATAAAATAAGCCAGTCACAAAAGCCAAACGCTGTAGGATCTTACTTATGTGAAGTACCCAGCGTAGTCAACATTTCAGAGAATAGAAGGCTGGTTGCTTGGGTCTGGAGGGAGGGGCAGTGGGAGTGTCTACTGGGATGATAAATAAGTTCTGTGATTGATAGTGGTATTGGCTGCACAGGGTATGAAGGTCCTTAATGCCACTGAATTGTTCAGATGGTAATTCATGTCATGTGTGTTACTAGAGAAAAAAAAAAATTTAAAGGAAAACACGTATTCAAAGTGCCCCAAACACAATTCTAGAAAGTCAGCTTTGTGACGGCCAGAAGTCATCCGTTGCTCACAGCTGGACCCCAGCACCTGGCACTTTGTAGGTGCTCCATGCAGAGTGAATATTTGTTGTCTGTATCTGCTGGCTACCAAACTTTTCCTACTGTTCAAACTGGGCTCAAGAGTCCCTTCCTCCAGGAAGTCTGGCAGGAGGGGCAGGCCCAGTCCACCCTACTTCCAAGAGGAGTTACACAACCAGAAGCTGGCCTCCTTTAAGAACAGTGTAGGGACTGAGGCTGAGGCTCAGTGGCAGAGCACTGGCCTGGTGTGCATGAGACTCAGAGTTCCAACTCAAGCCCTGCCAGAGAGAAGAAAGAGGAGGAGATGAGTGTGTGGAGAAAATGGAATGCAGAGGGAGTGATATTCTCTGGGAATGATGCTTCATTGGCGTCAGATGAGGGGTGGTCCTAAAGACCTCCTGACCCTGAGGTGAAGCCAGGTTTAGCTTGCAGCCAGGGATGGGGAACTGCAGATCAGAGGGTTTCCATGCTGGGCCTGGTCCTGGCCCTGCTGTACGCACAGGGCGGTCAGGGGGGTTGGCCTCTTCCTGCCTCCCCACTCCTCGCCAAGGGCTTTGGAGGCGAGGTCAATGGAGCTTGGTGGGTTGAGGAAGAGCAAGCGTTGGAACTGCGTATTGGGAGAGGGGAGGGAAGAGCAGGAGGAGACGGGGCCAGCTCCTGGGAGCCTGATGCCAGGCTGAGCTGCTTGGGCTGTGCCCTGAAGTTGTGCGGAAGCCACAGGAGGGCTCTTTCATAAGAGAAGCGAGGGACCCCAACACACTTACCTTTGGAAAGATGAAGTAGAGGGTGAACAGAAGGGGGAATTGGCAGAAAGGGGGCTCCTTTTTCTATGGGATCCTCAAACATAGAAACTAGAACCCTTGTTGCAGTCAGCGGCTCCCATTTTTTGAGCACCAGGGAGACGGCAGGGGTCAGGCCGCCTGGGGCAGCAGGGCTCAGCCTGGGTGTCTCACCTGCCTTCCTCGCAGACCCCTGATGGCTCCTGCTTCCCTTCCCAGCCCAGGTCTGTGTGGTCATCTTCATAGGCCTCCTCTTCACAAGGTTCTGGCTCCTCACCGTCCTGTACGCCACCTGGTGGTACCTGGACTGGGACAAGCCGTGGCGGGGCGGCAGGCCCATCCAGACCTTCAGGCGCTGGGTCATATGGAAGCACATGAAGGACTATTTCCCCGTCTCGGTGAGTCCTGGGGCTGCTTTGGGGGGATGGGGGGAGAAGCTGGCTGAGTGGGGTCAGGGCCCCAGTGCCTCACGTCTCTGTGGGGCAGTGCAGCCCCGTATGCGTTGTTCAGGATGCTGGACCGGAAGGCCCCAGGCCTGGGTCCCCTGCCACCCAGAGACCTGGAAAAGAGACCAGCTCCTCTCTTTCCATTTACACGGACGTGGGGCCAGCGTGAGGTTGATGAACATACAGGACTTGAAGGAGCTCTATGGGACATGTACTGTGTCTCTCATGTGGACCTTCAGGGAGCAATCCTATCAGCAGCCCAGTTTAAAATAAAGTTAACAAACTATGGGTCTTAAGAGACCAGCTAGCCCTACAGTCATACTCTGCCAACCAGAGAAGGACACCGGTGTGACCAAGGTCGGTCAGTCAGTTGTCAACAAATTTTAAAGCTTTGCATTGATATGGATGAGGAAGGGTATCAGGAAGAGAGCCCTGAATGGTCCTCAGGTTCTAACCTGCTCCTATTTCTGCCAAGCTGTGTGTCCTTGGACAAGGCCTTGTCCCACTCTGAGCCTTGGTTTCCCATTGATCCAGTAAGCCAACTGATCTTCCTGCTCTGAGTGCCTTCGTCTCTCTCTCTCTCTCTCTGGTTCATGACACCTCACAGTGATTGTGAACACTTGGCCCTGGACTTGAAGATTGGCCCTGAGTGGACCAGATCTCTGGATCTGAAAAGACCTGTAGGTTCCTTCAGCTGAGCCCAGAAAAACTAAACTTGTGGTCTACGCAGCCAGGCAGAGACGCTTTATTGAACAGATGGGATAGGATGGAGGACGGCAGTGGGGACACAGGAGGGTAGGCAGGGCTAATTGGCCTGAAAACAGGAGAGAAGGCAGGTGTGGAGTGTGGTCTTTAGAGTTGGTTGGACTAGATTCTAATCCCAGGTCTGCCACATAGCAGATGTGTGACATTGGGTGAGTTCCACATTTTCTCAGAGCCTCACTCTCTGCATATGTAAAGTGGAGATGATGTCATATACTGGGCCTTGTGGATTCCATGAGATCAGGCGGGACAGCTCTCATAGGTTCTCAGAACCTCAAGACTCAGCGGGATTCTGAGGAGACCTGGGCATGGCTTCAGGTCCAAGGGACTCTGAGAACCTAGAGTCTTGGGGCTCTGACCTTCATACCTGCCTGGCTTCTCCACCCCATCCAGGAGCCCCACCACTTCCTGCCCCTCCAGGAATTAGATCTCCAGGTAGCAAAAGAGGGGAGGTGGAGGAAATAGGCCTGCAGAGGCTGAATGGCTTGCCAAAGTCATGGGAACTCAAAGTCAGGGATTTGAGATTCCTGAGGTCCCCTGGAGCTAGAAAGGGCTGGGCTACAACAGGGAGCAGGGCCTGTAAGGTATAGGGTCAGCGTGGGTAGGGCTGAGCTGAAGTGGGCTGGCAGAGGCTGCCATGCCCATGGGGGCCACAGGAGTCAAAGGGCAGAACATGTGGGCTAGCGAGGGGGGACCCAGGTGGAAGGCAATCTTCTCCACCCCTTAGTTGTGCTTCCTCTGCAGGGCCCCCTCCCAGGATCTTGTCAACAAAGACAAGCAAGGCTTGTGGGGTCTGGAAAGCAGACATGGGTATTTTGTGGGCGGAATCCCCATCCCTTCCCCAGGACTTCTGAGCTCTGAGGCTCTGAACTCCCTTCTCCAGGCCCAGGCTCCTTCTTTTGAACCAGGAAGTTCAGAGCTCTCCTGGGGAAGTGTGACCTGTAGCCTGGGGAGGTGTAGGTGACATCAGGTCACCTGCAGCAGGTTCTAGCCCCTAGTTGAGCTTTGCAGGTCCTGACCCTGGCCTCTCGTCCCATGTGTGCTGGATCCTCACACCATGAAAAGAAAGGCCACCTACAAAGGGGGTGGTACAAGCACAGACCCAGAAGCCTCAGGGTTGTGAGCAGCAGCCTGGGGTTCCGGGAGAATAAAGCAGAGTACACCTGTGGGGAGGCTGGAGAGGAGCTTGGGTCACTGCAGAGGTCTTAGAGGCCACCCTGCAGAACTGGAAAACCGGAAGTTCTCTGGGGAATGTCTTCTGACAGCCTACTGGCCTCCAAAGGACAGTGTCCAGCTGCTCTGTCCCTGGCGTACTTCCTGCTGCAGGTTGGCAGAGGCGATGCTGAGGCAGCTCCACTGCCTTTCTTGCTCCTTCCCTCCTTGGTGGCTCTCAAGGAGGGTTTCTCAACCTCACTACTATCAGCACTGGATGGACTTGATTTGCAGAAATTCTATGTGCACAGTTTTTCAGGCTTGTTGCACACTGAAGGCCCTTTGCTGCAGTACCATGAGTGGCCAGCAGAGGGAGAGATGCTGTTCATTTCTGTTTTGTGGCTCCTAGGCTGGGAGCTGCAGACTCCCCCTTCTTTCTGCACACCTGGGCAGCAAGGCCCTGCAGAGACCCTGGAGTGAGCAAAAGGCAGGCTGTCCTGGCTCTACTGAGCTCTCCCTGCATTCACAAGCCTCCTCACTCTCTTGTGGAATGTGAGGTCCTTCCACGATCTCTCAGCTTCTGTCAGTTCTCCCTGTGTTTTTATGAACTAGCCTCTAGTGATGAACTTTCAGGCAAAATTAGAAAACTGTGCCTTGGCCTTGAAGATTTCCGAAGTCATCCTGTTGGCTTTCTACAGAGACATTGCAGGCGAGTCAGGCCATTCATGTAGCTGTCCCCACCTCATGCCAAGACTGGCCCAGGAGCTGGGTGTCCCCCACTGTGAATGTTTCATCACCCAGAGTAAATAGTCTAGACAGGCCAAGGCCTTGGGAGGGACCAAGTTCTGTGGCCAGGGCTATGACCTAGGGTCATGAAATACTGCCCACAATGTGCTTGCTGGTCATGATCCGAACCAGGCTGGGGACAGTGTAGGACAACTCCCCACCCATACCCATACCTGGGACAAGCCCTTAGTTCCCCTGTAGCCCACCAGGCATTACTAGGGACTTAGTGGCCTCTCCTTCCTGTCTGCCACATCTTGGTACACTGGGGTCTGTTCACCTGAGACAGTGGGGCTCAGGTAGCCACCTTTCACATAACAGGAACTCTAGCTTACAGGAGAAGGGGGAGGGGGAAACGGCAACATTTGATTTATTTTCCAACCAGACCCCACCTTCCCGATCGGACCTAATTATTTATTATCAATATTGACTGTCTTTTTTGAACCCTGGCTTCACTGAGATGCCTGTAAGGAGGTGTTTCTTCACAGGAAGCTGGGTCTGGCTCCAGTGTTCTCCCAGGAGTCCAGGGCAAGGGGAACTAGCATGGGGCATAGCGGTTCCCCAGCCCTAGGGCTGTCCTGCAGGGAACTGGGCCTCCTACACTGTCCCCTTCCGCTCCCAGCCAGGTAGATCTCTGGGAGGCTTGCTCAACCCCAACAGCATCAACATTTGGATTGGATAATTTGTGTGTGTGTGTCGGGGGGACTGTTCCTATCCCTGGCATCTACCCACTCAATGCCAGAAGTACTACCCTCTCCCAATGGTAAAACCCAAACTGTCTGCAGACATTACCAGATGTCCACATCAAGAGAGCAGGAGGTGGCAAACTCACCTTAGCTGAGAACCACTGATCTAGAGCATGGGGTCTGGGTCCTACACTCCTGTTCTGACTCTTCCCTCCTCCCCTCTACCCACAGTCCTGACCACAGCTATCTCTTTGTCTAGGTTCCATGTCCTCTGGTGCCCCCTGGAGTTCATCCTCCACACTACCTCTTACTTAGAATAAAACCTATTTTTTCTGCAGCCTGCAAGTACTTGCACTCTGAGTCCTTACCTGCTTCTCCTTTCCCTTTTGTCATTCCAGTCTGGCAGGTATGAGCTGTACCACTTGTTCTGGTGCCTTATTGGAGTGTCCCCCACCCTGCTGATGCCAAATAATGTGGGTACATAAGTAGGCCCTGAACAGGCTCTTCCCTCTGGGGCCCTAGAGGAGTGAGAGGTGGGCTGCCGATGCAGGAATCACCTCTCCCAGGAGAGCGAGGCTGGAGTCTTGAAAAATCCCAAACCAGTCATGAGCCAGCTTGACTAGCTTGAGTAGGCCTCCTTGGGTCAATGAGCCCCATGGTCGACTCTATCAAGTTTGACCAGATAGTTCCAAAGTCAGTCCTCAGTGCCAGTTGTCTCCCTGGGTCTGGAATAAAGGCTTCCTGCCTCTTTGTGTTCTCTGTATAGATGGCAGAATTCAGATCCCAGTCACCTGTGTGGCTTTGTGCAGGTCATTTAATCCCTCAGCAAACCTCTCAGCTTGCTTAACTGAGAAGTAGGGCTATCATACCACAGCCAGCCTTCCTGTGGTCTTAGTGGGTGTTAAACAAGCCAGCAGCACGGGTGCTTGCTTTTTTTTTTTTTTTTTCCTGGGATTGAACTCAAGGGCACCCCAGCCCTCTTTTGTATTTTATTCAGAGACAGGGTCTCACTGAGGTGCTTAGTGAGAGTTCACTTTTACTGGGGTTGGCTTCAAAGGGTAGAAACTCAACTGTCCATCAACTGACAAATGGACAAACATGTGCTCTAGCCATGCAATGGAATGTCATCCAGTCAAATGTGAAAGGAGTTCTGATACATGCTACAACATGGATAGACCTAGAAAACATGACACCAAGAGAAAGAAGCCAAGTTCAAAGTCCACCTGTTGTAAGATTCCATCTGTATGAGGTTTCCCGAACAGGTAAACTCAGAGAGGTAGAGAGCAGATTAGCAGTGCTAGGGCCCCGGGGAGAGGGAAAATGACTCCTAATGGGTATGGGTTTCTTTCTGGGGTGTTGAGAATGATCTGGAAGTAGTGGTAATGCTTACACAATCTTATAAAATTGCATTGAGTTGAGAGTGGTGGTGTACACCTGTAATCCCAGCTATTCCTGAGGCTGAGGCAGGAGGATACCAAGTTTGAGGTTAGTCTAGACCACTTAGGAAAGCCCTGCCTCAAATTTTTAAAAAGTTTTAAAAAGGGGGCACTGGGGATGTAGCTCAGTGGTAGAACACTGCTGAGTTCTATTCCCAGTACCAAAAAAAAAAAGTGCATTGAACTGTATATTTTAATGGGATGAATATCATGGTATATAAATGAAATCAATAAAAAATAGTTGGGCTGGGGATGTGGCTCAAGTGGTAGTGTGCTTGCCTGGCATGCGCGGGGCGCTGGGTTCCATCCTTAGCACCACATAAAAATAAAATAAAGATGCTGTGTCCACCGAAAACTAAAAAAAAAAAAAAAAGTAAATATTAAAAAATTCTCTCTCTCTCTCTCTCTCTTTAAAAAAATAGCAAACTTCAAAGCTTAGGAAGCTGGCTGTGCCCTTTTCTAGACCCACTGCCCAGTGTACCACACCCAGCCTCAGGGCATGTAGCCAGGGTATCCCCAGACCCCCACCATCTTGCTCAGTCACAATCAATATTCCCCCAACAGAATGGAGGAAGCAAGACAAACCACAGCTCTTCACCAACTGCCTCCTCCTCTTTATTTATCTTTATTTATCTCTCTGAACCCTGTAGTAAACCTGAAGTGTCATCATTGTCCTGTGGAAGAGGATAACTGAGGCACTGAGGGGGCCAGAGCCTGGCAAAGGTCCCAGGGATGAGCCAGTGGTAAAATCCAGTCTCCTGACTCCCTGCTCAGGGTTCTCCTGACTCCATGCTAGTGGGATGCAGGTGACCTGCTGGGACAGGATTCGAGTCAGGGCCCCTCCTTCTGAGGTGGGATATCTCAGTCTCATCTTCTTGGCTCCTTCATTCCCACCTTCCTTTCACACTTTCCAGAGCATCTCCTTTGTCCCAGACCAGCACTGGGGACACACCTTGGACACAGTGATCTATGATCTTCAGTGAGGGCCAGGTAGACTTGGGGACAAGAGTCATGTAGAAGGGGCTAGCACAGAAAGATAAAGTAGAGACCACGTCTGGGGGAGGTACAGATTAGGCCTCATTGGGACTATGATGGCTTCACAGTGCACACACGTGGACACATGTAGATACACATGCAAATATTGGCCTACTCGCCTGGACACAGGTCCCTGCCTTTGCAAGGTTTTTCTCTATGCACAAATGCTTTCTTTTATATATTTTTTGAATAGGGATTGAATCCAGGGGCACTCAACCACTGAGCCATATCCCCAGCCCCTCATCCCCCTTTTTAAATTTAGAGACAGGGTCTCAGTGAGTTGCTTAGGGCCTCTCAAAGTTGATGAGGCTGGTTTTCAATTCGTGAGTCTCCTGAGATGCTTGTTATAGGCATGTGCAACTGCACTGGGTTTTTGTTTGTTTGTGTTTTGTTTTTGTTTTTGTTTTTTGGGTTTGATAGATATTGTCAAATTGCCTTTATGGAGGTACAAAATTTCTTCCCACTAACAGAAATGGAACTTCTAAGGAAGTGTTTCAATGGGTTCTAGAGCAAGTGCCTTCCCAGTGAGAAAAACCAGTGTCTCTATCTTGCCATATCTACTAAGTCCCCTACTTCCCAGGGGAAGAGGTTTGTCCTGGTCTGGGGAGACCATCTTGGTGATGGTGGAGGGCGGGGGGGGGGGGGGGGGTCAAGCAAACCTTGAAGAAACTAGAGCTATTCAGACTGGACTGGGCAGACAGGATCCAGTACTGTCTCCAGTGCTCTGAGGGTGAGCAGCCCGGCTTCAGTGGCCCCAAAGGCAGCAATGAGAATCCTCAGGGAATTATCCCTGACCCTTTCAGCTTGGTGACAGAAAGACCGCTTACCCTGGCAAAGCGGAGTCTGAGTAGAAGGAGCTGCCCTGGCCCAGGGAGTGCAAATTGCAGGCTGGCAGGGAGCCTCCTGCCCTAGGCCTGGCCCCACCCTGATGGCAATGGTTCCCAGAGCCAGGTTGGGCTCCAGGGTTCCCAGTGGAGTGAGGCCAAGATTGCTAACAACCTTGGCCTCCAGCAATAATCTCTGCAGATCCAGGTGACCAGTACAGCCTCTGTTAGCTCAGGTCCCACCCCGTTGTTCCTCGCCCTATTTCATCAAGAAGCTGCTAAGGACACACAGATCTTTCTCCCTCTCCATCTTCAGTGTCTGGTGGACCCTGGCACACCCTCCATGCCACAGGCCCCACCAAGGCAAGCCTCTGTCCTGGCAGGGGAAGAGAACAAAGGGCAACAAAGGTCTGGCCTGCAGGGTGGCGGGGAGAGGAGAGAGCCACCGGGTGAGACACTTGTGCAGTACAGGGCGGCAGTCAAGAACAGAGCCAGTCTAGGGGTCTGCATGCTCTTTCAACCTGACAGGAATCCACGCCTCTTACAGCTTGCGCATGCTCAGCTCCAGGTCTGAAGTGCACAGTACTGTTAGCATGGGCTTTCCAGAGTGGTGGCGCCCCCGTGTGGCCCTTTGATTCCTTCACATCACATCCTGTGGGCTGATTGGCAATTCTAGGAACCCTCCTCATAGCACAGCTTGTCAGCAGCCAGGCAAGGGAGAGGGGCAGAGCCAAATGTTCCCCTTTTACAGAAGAGGAGCCTGAGGAAACAGTTTATCCAAAGCCAGCACCTTGGTATCACCAGAAATGGTCCCTCACCACAGCACAGAGCGTCCGACTTATGAATGAAGCACTTAAGGCTCAGAGAGGGGCATCGACTTACCCAAGGTCACACTAGAGTGGCAGAGTCAAGATCAGTAACAGACCCAGCTCTGACTCACCAGGGTGCTGTCCCTGCAGCTGGTCAAGACTGCTGAGCTGGACCCCTCCAAGAACTACATTGCGGGCTTCCATCCCCACGGAGTCCTGGCAGCCGGAGCCTTTATCAACCTGTGCACTGAGAGCACAGGCTTCTCCTCGCTCTTCCCGGGCATCCGCCCCCATCTGATGATGCTGAACCTGTGGTTCCGGGCCCCCTTCTTCCGAGATTACATCATGTCTGGGGGTGAGTCTTCCTGCTCCAGGTAGCTCAGGAACATAAGATTGGTGTTTCGGGTGGGGGGACTTTAGGGAGGGCTTCCAAAAGTTCTGTATTTCTTCTAAAAACATGCACAGGAGGAGAAGGTGGCTAGACCCAAAGGAGCTTTCTGCAGTGCTGTGCTGATCACTGAGCCCAGTGAGGAGGTTGGGAAGAAGGAGAGGACTCAGGGGACTCCCAGCTGGATCCCAGGCCTCTGTGGGCACTGCTGGTGGTCTTTCTCTTGGGCACACCCCCCCTCACAGTCCCTGTCCCCTCACCACACACCTGACCACCTTCCTCTCTCCCCAGGGCTGGTCACATCAGATAAGGAGAGCGCTGCTTACATTCTGAACAAGAAGGGCAACGGGAACCTGCTGGCCATCATTGTGGGGGGCTCCCAGGAGGCACTGGATGCCAGGCCCGGGGCCTTCATGCTGCTACTGCGGAATCGCAAGGGCTTTGTCAGGCAGGCCCTGATTCATGGGTATGGATGGGGCTCTGGGGACTGCACTCAGTTCAATCTGAAGTTGACAAGGATGATATTTTGGTGGGGAGGCAAGAAAGACTAACCAGATTCTATTTTAGCAGAGAGCTTCTCAGTTCATTCACAATGAAGATTATCTTTTTAATGATTCATGCCCAAATTCCTGGAAAAGTTTCCATTTTTCCAGAGAAATTCGATGGCTGATGGACATAGTTCAAGGTGGGAGTGGACATCTTCCCCAACGCTGGCAGGAGAGCTGAGACCTATGGGATCTGAAAGAATGGGGATAGGAGCATATGGAAGAGACATTCTCCCACCTTGGGTGAAGCTTCTGGGAGGAAAGGAGCCAACTGGCGTGGGGAGAGTTTTCTAGGAGAGAATGCAGGTGTTTTCTGTCTGGGAGGACTCTCTGCAGCACTCTGTCCACATGTCACGGAGCAACCGAGGTCAGAGAGGGAGCCATGGCAGGTCTAGGAGGCGATCCAAGCCTCCTACTTCTAGTCCAAGGCTGGCTCCTCTGCTCCCGCTCTTGGTCATGGAGTCCCTGCAAGAAGCCCAGTGAACTTCCCACTCCTGTTTTTTCTGGAGCCTCCTCCCACAGGCCTCTTCTGTTTCCCTCCAGGGCAGCTCTAGTGCCGATCTTCTCCTTTGGGGAGAATAACCTATTTGACCAGGTGCAGAACTCTTCTGGCTCCTGTTTGCGCCGAGTCCAGAATCGGCTGCAGAAGATCATGGGCATCTCCCTCCCCCTCTTCCACGGCCGCGGCATCTTCCAGTACAGCTTTGGTTTCCTGCCCTACCGCCAGCCCATCACCACCATCGGTAAGCCCAGAGCCAGTCTGCGAGAGGGAGGTTACAGGAACAGGGACCTGGGCTATGTGGTGCCAGGGCACATGGAGGTGGGCCAGGTCCATCCCTTCCCTCATGGGGCTCACGTTCTAGATTGGGAGGCACAGAGACTGGCAGATGGCCCTAATATAAGGCAGTCTTAGATAAGGGCTGTGACACAGACACAAAGAACAGTCACTACTGGTTGCTGAGCACCTGCTGTGTACCCGGCACTAGCGGCTGCCTTCTGTGCAGCAGCCCAAATTATTCTAACATCCTTTGAGGCAGGGTTATTATGTATTTCACTGATGATAAACTGAGGGTCAGAGTTTTGAGTAACAAAGTTGAAGTTTGAATCAGGAGGGTTTAATTCTGACTCAGAGGATCTGATGAAGCTTATTTGAAAAGATAGATACTGGGGAAGGGCACTCTGCGTATGCTAAAACTTTGCACAAAGTAAAAATCAATAGGCTCTGAATTAGAGCCTAAGGTATCTTCCTGCAAGAAATGGACATGAAATTTAATGCATAGACTTAACACCATCTTTTCAGCTATCTGGACACTTTTGGTTTTCTTCTTGGATTCCAAGTAGGTTCCTCTGACAAAATGTATAGAGAGGTCCATTCATCTCATCTCTATCCATCATTTGTTAGTTGTGCAGATTTGGTAAATCCCTATATTTTGAACCTTTCTGTGTCGTGTGGCAGTGTTTTCATAAATTTTAATACTTCTGCTGCCTTCAGAGCTATTGCTAAGTGGAGAAGGTCGGGGAGCTGCTTTCTCAGCCAGACAGAACCGGAGGAAGGGGGCTAGTTAATAGCCTTCCTGATTCTTCCCTGTAATAAGGAGTGAAGTGCAGGTCAGTTTGTGGGGCAGTAAGGGAAGAAAAGCTGCCTGGGCTGTGAACCCCCTTATCCCAGCAATACGGCACTTCTGACTGTAGCATCCTGGGCTCCCAGAATCATATAGCCTAGAAGGGAAGAGCACACACCCAGGACTTAAAACCTGGTACTGTCTCTTCCTAGCTATGTGACCTTGAACAAGTTAGTTAACTTCTCAGAGCCTCAATGCCTCACCTGTTAAATAGGAATATTGATAGGTTTTGTTCCCATAGGATTAAAGGGAAGAACACATGTAGAGCACCTAGCACATTTCCTGGCACATTGACACCTGTCTGTTGATAGATTTTATCAGAATGTTAGAGTTGCCCTACCACCTAGAATCCATTTCCTGAAGTTGGGTTTGGAAGGGGTAGCTGAAGGCACTTTCCTGCAGCATGGCAGTGGGGCTGGGCACCTGCTCCAAGGGCTTCTGCCACCCCAGTGGTTCCCACTCTGCTCCTCTGCCCACCTGTGTGTCTTGCAGTGGGAAAGCCCATCGAGGTGCAGAAGATACTGAGGCCCTCAGAGGAGGAGGTGGACCAGCTCCACCAGCGCTATATCAATGAGCTATGCAACCTCTTTGAGGCCCACAAGTCCAAGTTCAGCATCCCTGCTGACCAACACTTGGAGTTCTGTTGAACACCTCCAGCCAGGAGGGAGGTTGCTCCCAGGGCAAACCAGCATTTGGGAGCCCAGCCAGAGTGCTGGAACCTGAGGAGGTGTCCTGCATGTGTTTTGAACACATCTCCAGAGCTTCCCCAGGCTTCTACAAGTCCAACCACAGCTGGCAACGTGGAAGAGGAGACCAGACTGAAATCTGTGATTTGCACTTCTACAGCCAAAGCTCTGCCAGTCTCCCTCTCCTTGGCCTCTGGATGCTCATCTATGAAACGTGAGAGAGAACTGGAAGAAAATGACTCCTGAGGGCTCTGTCCTCTCCTGTAATGTCACTCAAAGATTACAAAAGAGCATGTAGGGAAAAAGAGTAACGAGGCTTTTCTTCCTCTACGCTTGAGTAACAGCACAAAAGAAGCTCCCAGCTCCAGCCCTTTCCCCTACCTGCCCCCTTGTATCACACCCTGGATGTCCCTCCCTCCCCCAGCTGGAGAGAAGGTGGTGGGCAGTGAGTCCCTGCACTCACCCAATGCACCTTCAAGTTTCTGGACCCTCTGAGCTGTGGAGTGGCAGCCAGAGGTTATTGGAAGATGGGCAAAGAGAATTCCACCGTCACTGACTGACTGTGACTGGGGGCAGGCCTCTCCCCCCCCCCCCGCCCTCTGAGCCTCAGTTTCCCCAAATAAGATGACCTTTGAGTCTCGGTTTTGACATCGCATAATTTGAGAACTCCAGGAGGACTCCTCTTGCTCATTCTTTGTAACTTCAGACCTTGGCACAAAAGGAGGGACCCAACAAATGTCAGTTCAATAAACTAAAGCATTCTATTTTAGCCCCCCTGCTTTTTTTCATTCCTGCCTGCCCCTGCACCTACCCTCATCAAGGACACAGGTCAAAGCTTTTGACCCTCAGCTAGGCCCTGTGGCCCTGTGGCCCTGACCCATCTTCCCAAGACCTGGATTACTCTGGTCCACAGAAGACCATGTTCTTTCCTGACTCATCACCTAAGTTAATCACCTCTGGTCCTATTCTTTTAGGAAATAGGGGAAAACTAGATGTCTATGGCCAGCTGACTCAGAGAACAAAAACCAGGTGTGGGGTGTGTGAGACTGCATGTGTCTGGGGGAGAGTGATGTCCTGACCAGGAGAATTCTGGATTCCTGGGTCAGGGACATGCATCAGGAGGGTGGCCAGGAGGCATGAGGCCCCCTCCCCTCTAGCGAAGAAGCAGACCCTTCCCTCCAAGAGCAGATCCCTGTAACCTGGGAGCGGACATTTGGAGAAGTGTAATTTGGGTTCCAATCTGGTCCCATCTACTTTCAGAGACCCTGAGAAAAATCACATCCAAGCCTCAAATTTGTCATCTGACAAATAAAGACTACATCTCCCTCCATTGCTGTGGTTCCCAAGTCAATGAGCCATTTCATGTCCTTATGGAATGATGCACTATACATGCCATGCAGCAGTCAGGTGACTCCAGGGTCTCATGAAGGGGCCTGGTACCATGCTATTTGTCATATGGGTCACAATAGTATTGGGAATAAGGAGCAGAAGGGAGTGATGACTTCCAGCCCAGGGAAAGCCTTGGAGAAAGTGGCCATGAGCCAGGCCTGGAAGGAAGGGCAAGAGTCTCAAAGGAGATACACAGTGGCCTGCTGCTGGGTCGTGAACCACTTCCAAACGTACTGCCTAAAGACTGCAAGGATTCATTATTTCTCACAATTCTGTGGGTTTGCAGAATTTGGGGGGTTCTTGGGTCTTTCTTGGGCCGCCATGTTGCATTCAGCCAGTGGGTCAGAGGGAGCTGGGACAGCTAGGGTGCTGAGACAGCAGGGCCTCTCTTTGCATGTGGGGGACATTGGCCTGTCTCTATCCTGACTGGTCTTTGAGGATTTGAGAGTGGCTGGATTCCAAAAAAATGACAGCCACAGCTGCGAGGACTCAAGCCCTGGGCCACACAACTTGCAGAGTCGCTTCCACTGGTCCATTGGTGGGAGCAAGGCAGGAGACCAGGGGTGAGGAATAGGCTCCGCCTCGGGATGGGAGGTGCTGCAATGTCACAGTACGAAAGGCAGGGACACAGAGAGGGTTCTACAGGCCATCTTTGCAATTGACCAAAAATTTAAAAGTGTCCTCCCCCATCCCCAACTCTGTCTCTTTCCCATTCCCCGTCTGGCCTCGATAAAGCCAACAGCCCCAGCTCAACCTTGCCTCTCTGCCCTGTCTCCATCTCTCTGTCCCCCACCCACCCACATGCACAGCCACGGTGGGCTTTCAAAAACACAAATCTTGGCACTGGAGTCCCAGGCCAGAGGTGAAACCCTGGAGGTCCCAACAAATCAGGTCCAGTTACTTGTCCCAAAATGAAACAGAAAAAGTAACAGTGAAAAGCGGGAAAGGAACTTTAATCATGGCTCTTTGGGCAAAGCAAAGTGAGAGCAAGTGTCTCAGCCCTGTCTTCAAGGTACTGACATGAGCTCCAGATTACATAGACAAGGAGACTAGACTTAGTCAAACTGGGCTTTAGTTGATCATTACCTCAGGATTGGCCAGGTGGGGCCTTGTCGGAGATAAGAAAGTTGCTGTTGCCTGGAGGTGGTTTGACTTCTCACAAGATATTTATCAATTAGACCTGTTGTTCTGGAATCCAAAGCAATTTTGAACAAAGGAGACCGATGCAAAATGGAGACAGAGATGCCAACTTTTTTTTTTTTTTTTTGTACCAGGAATTGAACCCTAGTGCATTTAACCACTGAGCCACATTCCCCAGCTCTTTTTAAAATATATTTTATTTAGAGACAGGGTCTTGCTGATTTGTTTAGGGCCTTGCAAAGTTGCTGAGGCTGGCTTTGAACATGTGATCCTCCTGCCTCAGCCTCCTGAGCCTCTGGAATTACAGACCAATTTTTAAATCCTGTTACCTACTGGACATTTGCAGGCAAAAGTTGGAGAGTCTTAGTCCCTATTAAAAGTCAGCCACATTGTTTCCCTGCTCGAAGTCCTGTGGCTCCCCATCGCTGCTAGGCTAAGGTTTGTACCAGTCCCATGTCAGCAAGAACCAGAAGATAATTTGAGGAGGGTGTCATTAAGAAAGAATTTCCTGAGAATGGTGACATAAGTCAGGGCCATGGTGGTGGGGCACTGTTACTGCCCTGAGGCTTGGAAGGACAAACACAGCAGGCATCTCAATTTAGAGAGGTCATGCCCATGTGCCATCCTTGCTCAAGGAGCACAAGCAGTTTTTGGTGACCCTGCAGGGAAGGAGCCAAGAACATGCACCTCACTGTCTTCCCCAGAGCCCACCCCACTCTTCCCTCTATCCTATCTCCTGCCAAGTTCCCCATTGCCTGAACCCAACTGGAAGCTAGAGGGAAGGAGGACCTGTGGCTGCAGTCCAGAGCCAGGCGGAGAGTAGACTAGAGGGATCAATGGAAGACAGAAGATATCCACCTGAAGCCTAAGCCTTTTAGCCTACCATTGGTCATTCCCCACCATCTGGCCCAATTTCCTTCATCCTTGTCTCTCTCTCTTCCTTATCCCTAGGCTCCCATCACACTGAATTATTTTCAGGCCCATGTACCATTTCCGCTCCTGGCTTTAGCTCACACTGTTCCGTTAACCTGGAATGCCATCTTCTCCCACCCCATCACTTCTGCCTTGCCTAGGGAATTCCTCCTTATCATCACACTGATTTCATCTATTCAAGGGAGTCTTCTCTAAGTCCCTGATGAAGAGGGGTTTCCTCTGTCTTCCCTAGAGCTTCCCTTCCTCTGCCATAACACTAAGTACCCTGGGAAGCACTATGCACAGCTACCTCTGCCTGTGGTCACTTCCACCTGCCTAGCCTCAAACAGCACCTGTTTCCTCTCAAACAAAACCAAACTTTATAAGACACTCTTAATGCTGGGGATAGTGCCTAAACTCCTGCTCAGGGTGGCATTCCAGGCCCTTTATCATCTGCCCTAGACCTAGCCAGCCTCACCTGGGCCTTGTCCCTGCCACCTACCACCCCTGACCCTTCACTGTGCTCTGGGTGTACACAGCGCCCACATTTGCTGGGCTTGGGCACACTCCTCCCTTTCTTCTGAATTCTTGACCTGGTCAATGTTCCATGTCCCTCAGGTTACCTTCTTTGTCAAGTCTCAGCCCACCCCACACACCTCAAGTTGCCCTGTTCTTTGAATCAGTGCTGGTACCTTCTTATGGGCTTTGGGGGTAGAAGGACCATGGTCACTAGTGTGTGAGTGGACTTCTCTGTCTCCCAGTGGATGAGGACCCATGAGAACCAAGGCCATAGCCTTGCTGCCTTCAGTCCCCCGCGCCACTCCCCACAGGACCTGACGCAGCGCAGAATCCCCAGGAAATGGGGATTGGCTGAAGAAATCCATTGTCTTCCTTTTTCTCAATCCAGTACATGCTGGGCCTGGGGCAGGGATGAGGGAGAAAGAGCAAGGGCTTTGCCATCAGAGATAACTAAATTCATTAGCTATAGCTGTATATAATAAATCGTTTCAAAACTTAACTGCTATAAACAACAGGTCTCACAGTTGTTCACAGACATCTGGGAGTGGCTTAGCTGGTGGTTCCACTCAGGGTTCTCACAAGCAGCAACCAGGCTGTCCGCTAGGCCTGCAGTCTGTGAGGCCTTGCTCAGGGCTGGAGGGTCCACCTCCAAGCTCACTCACACAGCTGAGGGCAGGGGGCTCTGTTCCTCTCCATGGGGCTGCCAATGACGTAGCTTCTCCCAGAGCAAGTGAGTGGAAAGAGAGAAAGGCCATCCTGCCTTTTACGACCTAGTCTCTGAGTCACTAGCCATGGATTGTGCCTTGGTCGGTTGGTTAGGTGTGACTCACTTGATCCAGTTCACACTCCATCTAAGGGTGTGAATACTGGAAGCTGGATTCACTGGGGGCAGCATGGCAGACAGCTGCTGTAGTAACGGAGATGAGCTCTTGGACACTAGACCCAGCCATCTCCACCCACGTGCCAGGGTACTGGCAGAGGATACTCAAATGGGTGGGGACAACAATTTGAGCAAAGAAATGATGACCATAACAAGGTGGCTATTGATTTCCAGGATGGGAAATAGAGGGAAGGGGAGAAAGAACTGTCCTTCACACAAGCCTCGAGGCCTCCACGTTGAAGACAACAGTAGTACATGATAGGAATAAGGAGTTCTGATCTCAGAGGAAGGCCACCCAAACAGAAAGAGCCACACTGGACTTTGTGTGTACAAAAAGAGATACTTTTGCTAGGTACGGAGGCACATGCCTGTAATCCCAGCGGCTGAGGAGGCTGAGGCAGGAGGATCATAAGTTCAAAGCCAGCCTCAGGAACTGAGCTAAGTCCTAAGCAACACAGTGAGACCCTGTCTCTAACTAAAATATAAAAAGGAGCTGGGGATGTGGCTCAGCGATTAAGCACCACTGGGTTCAATTCCCAGTACAAAAAAGAAAGAAAAAGAAATACTTTTACTGTGCTAAGCCCCTGAGATTGGAGAGTTCTTTTTATTTCTGTGGGCCTCCCTAACCAATGTGCCAGGCCCGATTCATCTAAGTGTTTGGTAATTAATTTAGCCAGGCACCCTCAGAGCCTGTCACATTTTGTCTCCTCTGTCCCAACACACACAACAGAGGATTTGTCAGGCATGATAGAGAAGGTCAGAGGTCCTCAAGCAGGGGGACAGCTTGAGTCTCCTCTGGAAATCAGGCTGCCCTTTGATCTGGGGAGAAGTTCTCAGGCATATCACCAGTGGGGACAAAGGGCCTGCTGAGGCCCAGCCCGCTTGATACTGCTTTATGGTAACTTGGCCAGGGTGGCAGGTGGGACAGG